GCGAAGGAAGTAAAGAAAGATAGGGGATAAACGTTGATTATTGTCATGCTTCGAAGTATGCGTGTATTTTTCTGCACATAGACCCATCCATTAAAGGAGGTCAAGGGGAAGAAATATGGAGCATCATTTGTTTATAAATCTTTATTTTCTTCCATCTTGTTGATGAAAGCTTGATGAAACGGATTTAATTTACTTTCTTGCAATGCAAATTTAGCATACAATTAAAATCTAGGCTTTACACAAACTTCTCAACTAATTGACATGACTATATAAGAAACAGTTCACTCACTAGCATATACAAGATAAAATAAAAGAAAAATAACGTAGATACACATGATCTAGTTCGTAATACGTTAATAGAAATGCAATAGAAATTCTCTCAACCGATTGACAAGTCATGCGCGCATACGTTTCCCACTTTCTAGAAATCCAAGCATTCTATCTAACATCAAAAATTGCAGGAGCAACGCATATAATCCGCATACCGAGGCCTCCTAAATATATAAATACGAATCGACTTAAGCGCGCGTGTATTACACTGCAGTCGGTGAAAAATGACTCGACGTTACAACGAGCAAACGAGCCTTGGAATGATAAAACTCGACGAATTTGATTTGCGAAAAATTTGTTTGAAAGGTGAAATCTTTCAACCAAGACAGATATTCGAGTTTTAAAAGCAAACAAAGATGAAAAAATTGCCCCATCTCTCTTATCTTCTCACCTATCCTACCCTTCCAATTTATGATATCTTCCGTTCAGAATGAATAATCGGACTTGGACATTTATTAATTGGGTTGTAATGAGAACATGCAAATCGTGGAAACTTGACCGACCTATGCTGAACCTCAATTTTTCTCGCGTTTAAAAGCTCTTTTGAAATTACTGCAGTCTTATGTTTTATTATAAAATTTATTTTATTTATACTCTTCATCAGCTTTTCTTAATTACTTTTAATCGGATCTAAAATCCTTGAACCCAATGATCGTACCGCCAGTTTTATCCTTCACAAAAGGATACCGAATATCAACAGCACCGTGTATCTGACAGTGAAATATTTAAAATTTCGCCGTTTCAGGTTGAATGGAACAATGTACTTATCTAAATTTATCAGAGCTTTATGTGATTGTTAATTTATTCAGTCGAAAAAATTACTATGACATTCTTTTTCTCATGCTACATGTTATATAAAATATATTTTTATTTTAATCCCCAAGCTGTTCATCTAATTACATTTACTGATATCAAAAGCATCAATTACCGAATAATCCTACAAATAATAACCGTACTTCGCGAGGTTTTAAGGTTCTACAGGAGGCACGAAATCTCCGACTTCAATTTCCAAGGAGAAAATTTCCTTGGGGCAGAAAAACCATAATCCCATTTTATGATTGCGTTAATAGCAGTTTAGTGAGTAGGCAAAGGACGCGGCAGCGGCAACACTCGTCGACCGTACAAAAGAAGGACGGCGCAGCTTTTGTAAGGATTAATACGAATCCGGTATCGAGGCGACGAAAGGGAAACGGAGAACCGATTATGGCGTTCGCTCCAGGAACAGAGTAGGTCGAGATTTCCCGGATGTCGTATCGCCTGAGCTATGTTCGGCCATGCTCAGCCATGCTCAGGCACCTTGGTTAACGTAACTCGCTGAACTCGATTAAACAGGGGGAGCCGTTGATCTTACGTGGAGACTACGCGGTGCTGATATTTCGATGAGTGATAGTGAGAGCGATAGTGACAGTCGTCGCATTCTTCGTGTTTATTCTATTATTGGCAATGTCTGAAAGAAAAATTAAACCAGACTCAATTGGTATTTTAACCAGAATTTCTTACGTCACATTACGTATTTCCGTTTAATGTACTTGAAGAGGATTTCACGCCGAATGTTAATGAATTAGAATAAGTGGACGAGAAGTAAAGGTAGAAGGACAGAACCCAACGATACAATCTACAACGGTCTTATACGCCCTTCTGTCTCCTGTTTAAAATAACACGGCATACTGTTAAAAATAAGAAGAATGACGTTTTTTTAAATATCGTCGTAGAGTTACGAGTCCTTTTAAACGGAAATGCCGGTGTTGCGTCCTTTTAAACCGGAACGCCGATATACCTCCTTTTTATACTTCATACGCTGCTTACTACACTGAGTTACGTCCTTTTTCTTGGGATTTGTCCAAATAATTTTTAAATCCCACTGGGACTCCTACAGCGAACCAGCTGGAAGCATCAAAGACGTAAATTTCTCAGAATTATCTGTTAATTCTCATAATTACGCTTATTTAACCGTATTAACTTTTTCAATTATGCTATTTAAAATGTACATATAATTTTTTAACAATCTTTAAGCCTTTTGTATTATAAGGATTTTATCCAGATGATATATATTTATTTTACTAAAATTCCTTAGCCAATAATACCGTGTTATTATAATTCCCAAATTTTTATTATTTTAAGATTATCGTTGTTATCATTATTATTATTATTATTATTATTATTATTATTATTATTATTATTATTATTATTATTATTATTATTATTATTACTATTGATACGCAAAGTTAAATGACTTTATGCTTAAAATAAAATTTTAATAATGAGATGTTTATGAACAATTTACAATTATCATATTAACATTGAAAATAACAATTACAATAAACGAGTCGTACTTTATAACAATCTTTCAGAAATAAGATTTATCTGTAATATTTTTTATGAGTTCAATTATTTTGCAACTACATTGAAAGAGACGATTCTGTTTAATCATAATGTTGCTCCACTTCAATTATATATTATTTGGCCTTCATTACTTTTTTCATGGAATCGTCTTAGTTAGCCATTCTCATGATTTGTGATTTTTACTTCTGATTATGAAAATTTTACTATGATTTATAGTTCTAGTACTATCACGATCAATGTACATAATTTAATTATGTATATCAATTATGTATTAATTATGTATACCAACTATACAACAAATGCATAACCTTAATAGGAAATATTTAGAGTAATCTTTTATATTTATATAAATTCGAATCATTTATTTGCCTATAATTAAACAAGAAGATGGATTATTAATGTTTATTATAAATGAAGAAAAAACCCGTTGTAGAAATTATGAATGGGTGCTTAAATACAAACAAAAATATCTTAAAAAAAATTGAAAATTATATTCTTCAAATATACTTGAAAGAAATTCATGGTAATTATTAAATACCTTACTACTCTTATTCCTTATTATCTTTATTCCTTATACTCTTATTCCTTAATCTCACTAGTAAAAGAATAAACAATAAAACACAAAAATAAAATACTCCATTAATTTGTAAAAGAAATACGATCAGTTCTTAACACTCGCAACGTTATATTTTTTTCAATTGTGAATTTTATTATTTCATTTCAGTATGCGGGCATACGTATTGGTCCTGTTGTCAAAAAGGATGTCATGAAAGCATCAATTATGTTGGAGCACGATAGCCAGTAAGTGTTATTTAAGTGTGCTTACATTGCCTAATATTATTCTTAACAAAATAATATTATATTTCCTATTGGTAGAATATTTCGTGGTAATTATATGTATGATTTACAGGACATTTCTAAGTATTCTTTACCTTCTGCTAACCTTACGTATTCTGAAATTTTTATTTTATTTGAACTTGTTTTGCTATTCGTTATAATATTTGTATAAATTAAAACCAATATTATTTGTTAATATTGATTTTGAAATTATCTTACGTGCACCCATATTACATAATATTTCCTCACATATTTTCCTCAATCTCAGAACTCCAATATTAGCAAAGTATTATAAAAAGTAAAGTAATAATGCCAATAAAACTTTTTTATATAAAATTACTATTGATGTTCTTATCAAATCAAATGTAATTCTAATAAATCTATTGTATTAACGTAATTCTCAATTCAATGCCATTCTACTTATATATAAGATGAATAAAAACTTTACAATATTCCCTTTTATAATACAGTTAATAATTATTATATCGTTGTCTCAAAATATACAGAGTATGTAGAATTTATAACAAATTTCATTTAATTAAATAGAATATTATTTTAGTTAAAATACTCTTTTTAATTATACATCTAACACGACAATCTTAATGTTATTGAAAAAACATTGAATACAGAAATAATGTGTTTCTTCCTTTTTAATTTTAATCGTTTTAAAAGTTTTTCCTTACAATCGGCTTTTCACCTTCGATAATCATTCACTACTTCTCTATGCTTGATAAAGCAGAAGGATGGACATATTTTCAAAGAATAGAGCAACAGTCAAAAATAAAAGAAGAGCAGAAAGAAACGGTGCACGAGATTGTCGCGATTACTTTTCATGGCTCATCAAACACTTATACACTTATCTACCTGCCATAAGATGAATCGTTTGAAAGAAAAAAAATTGAGAAAAAAAAATGCAGATAAAATGGTGATGAAAGACTATCAAATGCTTAAAATTAAAAATATTAATAAATATTATATATTATTAAATTGACAAAATTATAGCATAATATGAAATATCTTTGTAAAGAAAATTAATAAGAGGAAAAATATATTTTAAAAATAAAATTTATTAGAAAAACTTAATATTCTATATATTCATAAATAATCTGCCATTGTTTAAAATCAATTGTTTAACATAGCGAAATCTTCCATCGGATTATAGATAACCAAGGCTCCTATAGTTTATTAAAGCGTATTAATACGTTATTTTAATCTAATTAAAACTCAGAATTAATTTCAATTAACGCAATTAAATGGCATAATAAAAGTTAAAATTATATAAGATTAATAAAGCTTTCCCGATTTTTTACAGAACATTATCGCTTGATAAATTATTAATATCTTGATAAACCACAAATTTAGATACTTTTGGTAAAGTCATTAAGATCATTCCTTTTTAATTTTTCTCCTTTTTCTTCTTTTTTAACAATAATCTGACAACGAGACAATAGTTTGTCTCTTCTAATGATTTGTCCAACTTTCACTCCATTGCCGTTCAATACACGCGCAGGACTCGATTTATAAAATACACTCGAAATCTCAGCGTCTTTTTCCAAATGCAAGTCCTCCGAAGATTTTCGGCTTTACAAATGCATTGGACGACTACAAGAGGCGGGATATTGCTTCACGGATGGGCGCATTCCCGTGCCAAGAGGGGGGGGGGCGACAAAAAGCTGAATGAAGAGGAGAAAAAGGAAAAGAAAGAAATGGAAATGTAAAAAGCCATGGTAAGGAGGGGGGAAACGAAAGATACACAACAAGAGTACTTTGTCCGTAGATGGATCGAAAAAGACGGGGGCACTTGAACAGAGACAAAGTAATCTCATCTCTCTCATGCGAGTCACTCACCGGAACTGAATCCCACAACTTCCTTTACGCCGTGGATAACAATCAGAAGGAAGAGTACCGAGATTTCAACTGCACACCCTCTCTCCTCCTTCCTATCACCCTACTCCTCTAGTCTTACAAGCTCCCTCACACATACTTATTCTTTTTACAAACGAATAACGCGCAATGTTTTGAATAGAGGCGAACAGAAATGTTGTTGGTACGATTTGTTGGCAGTAAATGTGGCGGAAGGAAATACGTATACGAATCGAAATAAAGGAAAGAGAAAATTCCTCTTGATCCTACTCAACGTTATGTTATTAATTTATTTTTACCCTTCCAGGTCGAAAATCACTGTTTTCTCAACTTCTATGAGAAATATCACTCATAGTTTAGTCGTGAATTTTCAATAAATCTAAAATAAATCTAAAATAGATCTAATTTAAATCGTTATTTGTTGTTGACGTTTGCAACGTTTCGATAAATTGTTTAGATTATCAATAATAATTAATTATTTACGTTTACGTGCATTTTAAATACTAAAATTGGTCTTTTTAACCGTAAATTTATTTATGAAATTTATGAAATTTATAAAAAATTGAATTATGTCAAATGGAATAAATTCAACTGCGAGTTGTAAAAACTGCATTTTTAAATATAAAATATACTGGGTATATTGGTTTAGCGAATAACAATAATCTATATTGATTATTACTTTTTGTTTTTATCAGGTACGCGACAATTCTGGCATTCGACGTTAAGGTTGAACGTGACGCACAAGAACTAGCCGACTCTCTAGGTGTCAAAATCTTTCAAGCTGACATTATTTATCATCTATTCGATAGATTCATCGAATATAAGGATGAGCTACGAATGCGGAAACGAGAAGAAAATAAACATATAGCCGTCTTCCCGTGCAAACTAAAAATCTTATCGCAGGTATACTTTCAAATCCATTATACTTTTACTTGTGTCGTATATTTCGTAATATTAATAAAAAATATATTTTGTAAAATTACAATTGTCTAGTGCATTGATGAGACATTTAATTAAACGTTGGCATTTTAAAAATATACCGTGAAAAAAATTATATAATAATTTATCGTATCGTAAGAGCATCGGTATATGAATTTTTAATCAAATGAGATGCTTAAAAATATAATTATTTTTCAATAACCGTCACATAAACCGTCTTAATTTATGTTCTCAATTTTTTTTTTACCTTATGTTTAATTAAACATATTTTAAGAATTTAAAAAATTTACATCTAGTGATTTTAATATTAAAATATCGTTAAAAGGCAGTATTCATTTAAAATAGATGAATAAAGTAAAAAAAAAAAAAAAAAAAAAATGCTTATTTTGATTTGATATGATTTTCATATAGTATTCAATACTCATAATATTCAATGTTCAAATTAAATTCAGATAATTATAATAAATTGCCATTTAAAAGAATTGTAATTATTTTAATGTTATTTCAGTGTTTCAAGTTTAAAGTTTCCATATAAATGCTTGAACGTTATCGAAGTAAGGCCATGTTAGAAGTCAAAAATATGACTATACACAAATTATAGCACATAAATTAATCTAATTATATTGAATTTCCATATGTAATATTTGCCTTATATTCTATTAATTTGTTTTATCTTTTATTTTTCAATGATAATTATTTTTCATAATTTAAAATATTTCAAAGTATTTAGAATTTTTATATTAAAAATAAATATAAAAAAAAAATTAGGCATCGTATGCGATGAAAAAAAAAAGACAACAACAATGATTTAAAAGTTTACATTAAAAAGCTCTCATATTCATTTGGAAAAATATCTGTATTTAAGATAATGAATGATGTCTATAAAGATCTGTAGTAATTCCTTGAACACCGTTCGTCTTTAATTCCTATTATTGAGAAATACAGAGACGGAGCGTGCGTATAAAGGAGCGAGAAAATTAGGGGGAGTGAGAGAGAGAGAGGTAGCTGGTTTTCATTATAAAGTTACAAACTCCAAGTTCTATAACGGGTGTCTCTGACGTGTTTCACTTATGTATGTACGCTCGCAAGCATACACCCACTTACTTTCCATAAGACTGTGTTATGATGGGGGTGGGGTGGGGGTGGGGTGGGGTAGGGTGGTGGGGGGGGGGGGGGAATAGGAGGTATTACGGCGTACGTACACATCGGCTCGTTATTCTATGGTAGGCGCGAAGAAAATTTATAATGCCACGACGGGAAAAGTAGTGCGGTTATAACGGGCCGAGGTGTGGGCAAAGATATATTCTATACGCTTGGGCTTTCAAACATCATCCGTTTTGGAATAAGTGTAAAATATGGAGGTTTGAATGTATTATATGTGATTGGAAATACCACTCATAAAATTAAATCGTTGAAGCGATGAACACATGTTTCATTGACTGCGCCACGAAAAATGCCCCTGGCTTTCTAAAAATACCACTCGGCGAAACAAATAATATTTTTATTATGCTAATGCAGCAGCGTATCTATCAATTTTAATAAAGTATGTGTGTGTGTGCGTGCGTGCGTGCGTGCGTGCGTGCGTGCGTATCCTTTTTCTATTTTGAAGTGCGAAACGTTGAATTTTATGACTTATATAAAACAGTGATTGACCACTACTATTTAAATGAAAAAGTTAAAGAGGCTTATCGGTAGATTCCGTGGGTAATAGAATAATTCATGGCTGTTGAAAATATCATAAGTATTTGGTGAAAAGTTTTAAGTTTTTCGTAACGTCAACGCGAATGTAAAATATAAATAAATTATTATAGACCGTAGAAAATAGTTAAAAGTTATAATCGATGATCCTATTTATGGAAAATTTCTTACGAAGAAAAGAAAAGAAAAAAAATATCTGGACATAAATAGTCCATTGCGACAGAGTAACTCTTATAAATTTGTATTTCAATGACTTCAAAAGATCAACAAATGCCACCAACATTATGCCGACATAAAAGACAAATTTCTAAGCATCGTAAAAATCTCGTGCTTGTAAACGTAATCCCTATAGAATACACGTTCTCTTCCATATTTTTCCAGCCTCCTAATATTAAGCATCTCGGGTTACTCTTACACAAGCAGCTCCTCGATAACTTCCTCTTCCAAAACTTGAATTCTTCATTTAAAAATTTTACTCTTACATTATATAGCCGCATATAGCCGTAACTCTGCTAATATTTAAATATACTAAAAAGCACAGTGGATGAATTAGCGTGTAAGAGGAGAACCGTTAATTGCTGACGACAGTCGAGCGCTTACCTTTCGCTCCCACGCATTCCGTTACAAAGCCGATCGCACCTTGCACTACGCGTAAAGATTTCCTTTGACGGACTCGTAGACGTGCTTGATATCCGGAGAAAGCGAATGCACAAATGCTTCCGGGAAAATAATTGACAGGAAATTCGTTTTATGCTGGACAGTAGTAACCTTCTTCCGACTTTTTAAAGTCGAACTTTTAAATAAATGCATCTGTACTCTTCGAAAATATACAAATATTGTACACTTGAGGGGAATTTGCATTTTTTTTTTTTTTTTTTTTTTTTTTTATTATTATTAACAACATATCGCTGCTACTGGTATGGTTGCTACTGTCGTGGTGAACAGTTTTTGGCCATATAATTTCATTTGGTAATGCAAAAACAAGGAAGAAAAAAAAAGCAAACACCTCTATACTTTTTATTCAAACTCATTCAATATGAAAACATAACTTTGCTATGAAATTATATTGAATCCGTACCTCTTAATCTTTATACTTAATTTAATAAAATACTCGGATCAATCATTTAAATCGTAAAATTCAGTTCTAATGTTGAATAATAAAAGGGAAACTTGTTAATCGTAAATATATATATATATATATATATTACGTTTTAATGGTAAAATAAACTCGAAAATTTAATGGAACTTAAAATTTTTAACGATTAGCGAAATAATGTAAAATAAGTTAATAATTAAATATTAAGCAAGTGATCTTAGAAATACTTCTTTCGTAATTCACAACAAAATATATGAGCTTGATAATATAACGATTTAATAATCAAAAAATCTATGCAGAATATAAGATATTTTCTCATATTATATATATTTGATATTGAAATTATTAATCGTTCTTTACATTTATTGGAATTATTGATGTAAAATGGAAAAAAGTTGAAAAAAAAACTAGTAAAACTTTTGGTAGATTTCGAATCGTGATTCGGTTATTTACGAACGACCAAATGTGCACAATATAATGTACACAAGAGCATTTATCACCGGATGCGCACTTGATGAGAAATAAGAGTCTGCAGGAGATCTACCTAACATGACAGAGTGAGAGAGAGAGAGAGAGAGAGAGAGAGAGAGAGAGAGAGAGTAAAGAAGCTACAGTCGAAAGGAACAGATTGAATGAAAGTGATGGAGCGGGGGTGATAGCTGACTACTAGAAAGTCCATGAGTCTCTAGGGTTACAATATTGCGAAAGATGAAACTCGCGGGTAATAACAATAAGAAAAAAAAATCTGAGAAAAGGAGGAAAAATATTAGTAATGACGATGGAAATAAAAAAAAAATATACAAAAAAAAGTATAGAGGAAATGACGGAGTAAGGGACTGCGAAAGTAGATTTATGCTCTTCATACGTATCGGAAATGATAGCTTTAGATAGTTCAAACAAACCGTCCAGCATCATATTCAGTACATTTCGACTATCTTTTTCATATACGTGAATATATGTAGTTGTAATTTTGTATCAATATTGCGTTCGTATAAAATCTTAGATACCATATCGACATGTGTATCATTACGCATGTAATGAATGTTTTACACACAGTAAAAGTCTCTATAATACTACACGAAAGCTTTATCAATTTTCTGTTCGATGTATTTTGTAGTTATTATATTTTAAAAATGCTCGGCTTTAAAAGACATTAACCTACTATGGGTTGTAAATAAATGACCGTTGTTACAGTAATCTAACATGCACAATTTAAACGAATAAATATTGTAAGTACTTAGTACAAGTACGTACTTACTAAAATAAATATTTATTTGAGCTAAATAATATTTTTGCTTAAGCAAGTTATTAAATCGTTTATCTCTATATCTCGTATTTTATTTATCAACATTTATTTATGCGACTTATTTATCAAAAGAAGCATTAAATGAAATATTTAATTTACTAATAAAATTATACAAATTTATTAAATTAGTCAAAAGTGGAAACTGAACATTTTTTTAGTTTATTTGTAATGCTGTGTTAATTATATATAAATAATTACTTGTATTTATCTAAATATCAGTGAAATTTAATGAGAATAAGGTAATTCATACGTTGGTATGATCACACGAATACACCTACATGTTTCATTTTCTTCCGCAATCAAGCAGGTTACCATTACGCAAATAACTCAGTATTTATAATAGCGAAACGATGTTCTGCAGTGTATCAATTAACAATTGAATAAAAAAATCAAAAACTTATTAAAGGCCTTTATTCATTTACTCTAGGAACCAAAGAGGAAAATTAGTATATATAAAAATTAATTTGGCATGTCACAATTCAATTGAAAATATGTTTATTATTAGAATAAAAGAAATGAGAAATATTGATATGAAAAATGTTTTTACTTCGAGTAATTAATGTATATCAAGTGACATTTATATCTTGATAATGTATATATAGGAATTTAGTTTTAATTAAAGTCCATTATTACAAAATTAAGTGTATACTTTTTTTTTGAAATATTTATTTAAATAATTATTAAAAATTATGTATCTATAAAATGACACAGATATATATTTTTTTTTCTTTTTAAATAAATCAGAGAACAAATACAATTAAAAAATATTTTTCTTTATATTGAATAATGAAAGCCTTTTTAATGGTTAATATTAAGAATGGGATTAAAGAAAATTTACAAAAATTTATCGTTCAAAATTTCATACTAATTATATTCCTAATTTTAGTTTATTTTCAAAACGAGAGATCCTATCATTATGGGTGTAATGATTGAAGATGGCATCATTAAACAAGGAACACCAATATGCGTCCCCAGTAAAGACGTAAGTACTATATAATTTAAAATATAAATATAATTACTAATTAAAAATAAATAAATATATTATTTAATATGACAAAAAATGATATTAAGTACTCTACAATTAAGTAGTCTACAAGGCATATTTTTTGGACGTTACTTTCATGTAATACCGGATGTTCTAGCAACGATAAAGAAAATTTTTTAATTTCTCTCTAAAATAACGTTGTTATTTTTATTTGTATTTTGCATAATAACTATTCTGATTCTTGACATACAAAACTAAAAATTCATTGTACAACATAATGTTTTTCATTCGAATAATGAAACAAACTTATCAATTATATTTTAAGAGAATGCAAAAATATTTATTAAATACATTAATTATTAACAAATAAATAAAAATTGTTTATAAATAATGGGCACATCGTTTATTAGTCTGATCAGTATAAAGATTTTTAATGTATCAATGTGCTGATCATTCTTCAGACATTGCCTTTTTCCGAAATTTTTATCAAAATTAAATTAAATTTTATATGAGTATGTTAGTCCTTCAAAATTGATAGACAGACTGAATAAAGTGGCTGTGGTCATATAATGCGTCATTCATAAAAGAGGAAAAGTACGGATTCACCTGTGAACAAGCTCTTTTGCTATACGCTATTGGTCGAAAAAAAAGAAGATTCAAGACAAAAATCGATAAATGAACGAAAAATTGCGCGCACGAGAGAAAAAGTCCGATTCCAAATACGCGAGACTCACTTGGCAATGCACTCGGCGGGACGTGTAGGTGAACCTGTTCGTCGGTCCAAGAGCGAGATCTCAAGAAAAGCCGAGAAAGAAGGATATAGAGAGAGAGAGAGAGAGAGAGAGAGAGAGAGAGAGACAGAAAGGAATCTGATTGGCCGATCTCCGTCTCTCGATACGGAGTTTTCTCACTTATGCCGTAGGAGGTCGAGGTTTTGTCTCTCTCTCTCTCTCTCTCTCTCACCCTCACCATCTTCTCTTCTTCCTGCGTTCTATGTACGGACGCTCACCTAACTGACAATTTCGTACTATAGATGTTTTTCTATTTATATCTTGCTCTTCAATTGAGTATTGGAATGCGTGTAAAATTTAATAAAAAGGCGCGACTTTTTGGATAATTCAAATAATTTTTCATAGGATGTCGAATGGAAAAAATGAATACAGATCGTTCGTTTTTTACATTAATTGTCACAGAAATTTAATTTATTAACTTATTTGAGACACTTATAACAAACTCGAACATTTATGTTTATGTATCCTACGATCGATTTATCTAAGCATACGCTACATGCTCTAGAGGTGCGAACAGTTGGTGTAAAAATATATAATTGAGAATAGAAAGCGAACATTAGGGGGTGAATATGAGAAATTTTATAATAATTTGACATAATTAACGAGTATATACAATCTTATTCTATCTTTTAAGATATTTTTAGTCATAAAATCGTAAGGAAACTAGCATATCTATAAAGATTTCACACTTTTATTGGGTGCAGTTCAAGGTACGTTCAATAATTCTATATACATGCGCAAGAAATTATTTAAAAAATATATTAATCAATGTAAAATAATGATCCTATTATCAATATCATAAGGTTTGTTTAAGATTTTCCTTTAACAAGCAAAAATTGACGGTGTTATAGACTAATTATAGATCAATTAAATATTTCTTTAAAAAACATAAATAATTATTCAGGGGAAATGATTTTTAAGCATAACATTTATAAGCTACAGAATTTGTTATTATTTTTTTATAAGTCATTGTTTGCGTAATTTTAAATACCATTTATTCATTCGGATATAAAAAATTTTTTAATGCTTATTAAAATGAAACATTAATAATAATTAATAATAATTAATTATTATTTAATAATTCCTGCACTTATGTTAATTATACATGTGTTAAAGGTCATTAAGACAAAAAATACATCGAATAACGCATTGAATTACTCTATTAAAATTTTAATTTCGATAGAATTTAATAAAAAAAAAATTATATTTGCAATATTCATTTTCATAATTCATCAATAATCAAGTAACAATTTAATAATCCTGTATGTGTATAAGTTCATATATCTGTAATTTTTTTTTTTTTTTAATTAACCGTACATAATTAAAAATGACTCCTAAAAAAAAAAAAAGAGTATTAGTCTTAAAGCAAAATTTCCTGTCAAACGATGTTCCTTTTTGGCCTCGATTTGTCATTTTCTCATAAATTTATAGACTCATACATGGAAGTTTATATAATAAATAGTAAATTTATTTTAATGGTCAAGAAAGATTCTTAATGTTCATTATAAAATTAACAATTAATGATTGCTATTGTTGCATTTACAATTAAGTGAATGGATTTGACGTTTTAATATGAGATGGCAAATCTATTTATTTATGTACATTTTTCAAATTAAAGTAAAATTTTCTTTATTATAATGTACAAAGTATTTAAATTTGTCACATTATTTCTAGCATAAACCATAAATATAGTAATAGTCTGACCCAATTACTTACAAAAATATCGCAGGTATTTCTGTACCGGCCTTCTGCATTTAAATTCGTGTACAGATATGTTTTAAATTTATTCGTAATAATAATTCAAACAATAATTGTAATATAACAACATAAAAGAGAATGTGTTGAAGATATATTGGGGGAACAAGAAGTAGACGAAGAGGAGAAAATCGATATTCGTTATCGTGTGTGTCGTCCGCTTGCTGTTCTTTCTTTTCCCCGTCATCCCCTGGTGGTAGCTATCATTCTCTCTTCCTCCTCTCCCACCCTCTTTCTCTTTTTCTCTCTTGTCTCTTCCGTCTGATTCTCTCGTTATCGTGATCCGAGAATAACTCACTCAAACTCATTGGCTAGACGGAGATCCAACCAACAGCGTCGCGTAATGAGACCGGAACACTTGAAATCCCATTCATGTTGTCGGGAATCGCACGCGCGAAAAAGAGAGACAGAGAAAGATGTCATTGATCGATGTTAGAGAGAAAGAGGTTCTTTAATCAGCGTAAGCCAATTAACGACGTGAGTTAAAAAAAATTTTTTTTTTATATTTAGCCCTCATTATCTTTTAAAGCTTTCGTCATAATTTAATATTGTATATTGTACTCAAAATAAGTCTATATATGTTGAATAATAATTTCATAAGGAGTAATGCAATATGTTGCAAAATAATTGAATTTTATATAACATTTGCAAATACTTTGTAATAATATTAAAAAAAAATAATAATAATAATAATAATAATAATAATAAAAAAATTATTAATAATAATTTTTATGTAATATATGATTTTTCTTACATAGTTAAAGTACATAAATAATAATGCAAATACATATCTTCAATTAAAAAGTGTGATACTGTTGACGAAATAAAAGCCACGTACAATGTATATAAAAAAAAAAGAGGAAAGTCAGAAACAGCAATTCCCTAAATACAATGTTACAAGCTTTACTTGATCAATCAATGATAAAGACACTGACGTCTACTGTCTCGGCGAGATAATGAAATCATTTTAGCGCAAAGGAATTGAAACTTTATATTTGACAATAAAATATAAAAATATGTCAATTATTTAGAGTTTAAGTAAATAAACGTCTCCGTTACATGCGCTTTGTCAGATTTATGAGACTGTCATGTCGCGTGTGAAATTACAATCTATTACATTAAACCGATCGAGCCCCTTTTATCAAGACAATTTTATGTTTCAATAAATTTGAGTATAGAAATTAATTTATATTACTAGATTGAAACTAATTTATCAAGTGCACAGGTTACGCGCTTTTATTGCCTGAATTTATTCATATTCATCATGCTTAGACAACATGGTTTTTTTTATTTAACAACTTAATATATTTCATTCATTGGAATTGCACATTTATTTGAATTTACTATGTACACTTTTACTATTACAATGAATTACTATGTTTCTGTAACTCTCTTCTATTACTATAACACTGAATATACCATTATCTTATGGATTTCAAGATCACATAAATTTTACAGTATAAAGTTTCATACGTACGTACATTCATGTAAATTACTAATATTTTAAAATTCTAATATTGACAGCATTGAAATAATTAAAAATTTTAAAATATCAATGAAGAATATTCCGAAAAAAAAATTGTTACTCCGCAAAGGCAACATTAAAATGGAAATATCATCTCCGTATAAAATATATAAATTAATAGCTGAAAAATCTGTGGGCAGAGCAAATAGAAAAATACATTAATGCATCATTGTCGATAATAATTTTTCGGTGTATAAAATAAAGATGCTGGGACACAGTATCTGGTACATATCCTGGATCTCCCTATTGTTTCGTAAGCTATTTAATTCAAACAAAGAAAAACGTATTTCGAATTCATTAGAAAATATATGGCGAATAAAATGTTGAATTACAATGGACGACGTAGCAACGAAGAAAGTTTGGCAAAATTGCACCTCACTTCGAAGAATTTATGAAAGCTTAAATATTTTGTTTAAAATTAAAATGTATATTTTCAGTTGGTTTTTTTATTTATTTTTATTTTTTTTTTTTTTTTTTTTCAGTCATAGTCAGTAAATATCGAAGTAATAATATCTTGATAAAATGAAATATCAATTTTTCTTAATTCCTTTCAATTACGTTATATCGCAATCAATACAAAAAATATACATTAAGTCGAACAATCAAGTATTCTAAGAAGAAGCAAAAGTATTTTTATTTTACTTAAGTAAATGATAATTACTGATTTTTTGATAAGAACTTAAAAAAAATGCCAAATAATAATCTTGTAAAAGACGCTTTTAAAAGTAAACGTTTCCCCTGTAGCTCACAATGTAAATATAACCCTCTGGCCCGTGTAATTTCGCAAGATATCTAGTTATTTAGAATTTACAAGGCCGACAATTTAAAATTTTAATTTCAATATGATTGTTGCTAATTATCTAGAGAATAACATATTTTTACATATTTCTACATGACAAAGGTGGTGTATGTACTTTAAGTGTAGA